AATAATAATAAGGGAGAAATGTGGGATTCACATATAAATCAAGTATAAAAATCAAATGAATATTCATATTTGACCTGTTTATAGTTCATAATGCGTGATCAAAACCGAAAGTTTCTGTGATGACTGCCCTTGTACTGTTCACCATGTAAGAACTTATTCACTATGTAAGAATTTGTTCACCATGTAAGACCTTGTTCGCTATGCTTCAGAAGATTGGAGACTGACGAAAATTAGGCTTGGGGTGGATTAATGATTGTGCATTGAGCATTGAGTTCCCTATACAGAATTTTATTGTTGTTAACAACCATTTGATCAATAAATATGAGAGATGCACTCTCAAAAAAAAAAATATGTAGATGTGAAAGAAGCCATGGAGAATGGGGAGAGAGTTTCAGACAAGGGCACTGTGAGAAATAATGAAATGATAGATTGGGGCAAGGTCACAGACAAATTTGAATGTGGCCAAAGTGGTTTATAGTGTCTTCTTTGAGCAATGGGAAGACACTGATGGTTTTTGAACAAAGGTGTGGCAGATTACAGCTTGGCTTTAGGAAGGTTAATCTGGCAGAAACTGGAGCCAAGTTAAGAAGCTATTATAATAGTCTTGAGTGCTGAAGTTAAGAGTAGCAGTAGTAAGAATGCAAGATTGACAACTGAAGGAATTTAGGAGGTTCAGCAAGAAAAATGAATCAAAGGTCCCTGAGGTTGTGAACTAGGGTGACAGGGAATTATGGAACCATGAATTAAATTCAAAGCAAAAGTGTTAATCTGGGGTTAGAGGGCATAAAGGAGCTCAGTTTTCGATAAAATGAGTATAGAACATCCAGATGGAGATATATAATCTGGATCTAAATTGTAGGAATTAAGAACTATAGGTTTGGTTGGGAGATGCAAGTTTTAAGAGTTGTGTATTTACTGATGAGAATTAAGGCCAGAGACTAGATTAAAGTAGCCAAAGGAGATTTGAGAGAGAGAGAAGAAAGCCAGGTTCCCTTAAAAGGTAGGGAAGTGATTAGAGAGGCGGGTGATCCAAAGGAAACAGAATCATAGAAAGCATTGGAACATGTCCTATTCTACAGGAGTTAGGAGAGGAAGGAACTACTAATACTGTAACACCAAATACACAATCTCATTTACTCCTCAACAACCCAATGAAACAATTCCCAGTTACTAACCAAGAATTCACACCTGACAAAGAATACAAGCATTGGAGTACATGAACCTGGATTCTAATATGGGCTGCCCTTCAAGAGCTGCATAACCATAGGGTCATGAGATTAATAGTGCCTCTGACTCTCATAGTTAGTGAGGATAACATTTTGAAATGCATGTAAAGTGTTTAGGACAGTGCTGGACATGTAATACTCAATAAGTGGAAGATACTGGGTTTTTTTTCAATAATAATAAACACAGGTTGTTTTCAACACAGCCTATTGATGGGAATGTAAATCAGTAAAGACTTTTTGGAAGGCAAGGTTCTACCAAAATTTTTAACATACATACATACATCTGACAGAGCAATTCTGCTTCAAGAAATTCATTTTAAAGAACTGTTTCCAAATGTAGGAATGTTTGTTGTTTCTTCATTTGTAATAAGGAAAAACTGGAACCTATCTTAATGAGGAATGGTTACATTAATCATGATACATCTATACTATGATTATAAATCTCTATGATACATCTCTGAAATACTCAGTGCAGACCTAAATAGATATAAAAGGTATTTGCTGTATCTTCATAAATGAAAGACAATTAAGACCCCTTATATGATTCCACTGATGATCAAAAAAAAAAGTAAAAAAGTTAAAGAAAATGGAGGAATAAACATTAAATTAAGAAGTGTTCAAAAGAAAGGAAAAGGAAGTAGAGGGCTTTCACCTTTGACTCTATATACTTCTGTGCTGTTTGAATGAGAAGTATAATTTCAAAAATATAAGAACTTAAGGCAATGTCGAAAGTATTTTGAAGAAATGACATTGTAATGGGATATTTAAACTCATCATAAGCAAGTAGATTAAAAAGCCAATAAAGATGAAGAGCAGGGATTCTTGTGTTTTCGAGGACAATACCCTGAAAATAGTTGTAAAACTGCATTTGTTTAGGGAGAAGCTCCACAGTTTTCACGGTTTTCACGTCTATGACCCCAAAATGTTGTAGGGGTAAAAATGGTACTAGCATAAAAAAACACTACCAGCGTTACTCAAATCTTTTCTAGTATTTTTAACCCTCATGAAACAAAAATTATAGGAAAATCAGAAATGGTACAAAGCAAAGTTGGCAATGAACACGGGACCAGTGCGATCTAATTAAAAGTCAGGGACCCAAGTCCTAGTCCGCAAGTGTGGGAGAAAGGGAGACACAATGGTAGTCAAAGAAGAGAGTAACACATTCTCCCTCCTCTTCAGTTTAAGTCCTGGGAGGACGAACCTGTTAAGGATGAGTCCACTTGAGGGAAGGATGTGTGCGTGCCGGTACCAGGGGAGGAGCGCGGAGATACAGATCTGGCAGGCAGGCCATCTTCCCCGGGTTTCACTCCCACCTCTCTCGTTCCCCCGACCCTGCCCGGCAGCCTTGGTCAGGTCCTCGGCCCCGGCCTTCCTACCAGCTCCCTTTAAAGTGCGTCAAGAGCATCCTTAGAGTGGCTCACATGCCTCACTAGGCTAGTTGCCTTCCTTGGGAGGCCGCACCTCCCTCTCGACCCTGACCCGGCAAGGTCCCTGGCCCTCCCGGGCCCCCCTCTCCTTGGTCGGCTTCCCGGACTCACTGTCCCCGCAACTCCACCTAGGACGGGAGGGGCTTCTGGGCGCGCCTGGCCCGTGGCGGCGGCGGCGTCCCGGTCTGAGGCTCGGACAGAGGGGTCAGCGGGAGCAGCGGACAGCGCGTGAGCAGGCGGCGACTGGGAGCCGAGCTGAGGCCCCCGCCCAGCCTGGCCCTGTCGCGAGATTGGCCGCGGCGGCGGGGCGGAACAGCCGGCTGCGTGCTCGCACGGGCGCCGCCGCAGTGGCGAACACGCTCAGCGTCCGGCATCCCGGCAACCCTCGGGAGCGCGGCGCGCCCGCCGTTCAGCCCCGCCAAGCCCGGCGAGCCGCTCCGTCGGCTGCAGCCCCGCCCTCCCGACGCGCGCCTGTTGCTAGGCGCCCCCAGCTTCCAGGCTGCCTTCCGGGAGAGAGCCGGCCAGGTCCTGCGAAGAGACCACAAGCTAGGATGCGCGCCAGGAGGATACCTGGGCAACTGGGAGACCGCTAGGGCTCACTCGACAGTTACTATGGGGTGCCGCCGGCTATGCACAGGCAGCAACAGGCAGGGGCGATGGGAGGAGGGAGCTGAAACAAGGCGGCGTGAACAGGGGTCCGGGATACAAGATCGGTGGGGCACGAAAAGTTGCGCCACGCCCTACAGGATGGTTAGTGGGCACTTGGACAAGGTTGATGATATTCAGTTCTCTGGGTTGCATTTTTTAAGATTCAAGCTAACCAGTCTCTCCCAAGTACTGATGAGTCTGGAACTTTGAAAGAGCCCAGCAATACTTTTTTGAGTAGCCCAGTCTCAGGTCTATCAGTTATCCCCCCATATTCTCTCACCTTGCACACCCGAATTCCGTATTCCATGCCTCTTTTGTCTAGGTTCTTAAGTGAAAGTTAGGTGTCCCTTCTGCTAGCTAGAAAGCCTAGAAACCGACTTGCACAGTAGGACCTTAGCATCTATACTTATGCCAAACTGTCTTCTATACCCTCTGCCTTCATTTCTTGACCTCTACTATTGCTTCAACTTTAGCCCTGGTAATACAGGGATTCAGATCCCACAGAACTCCCGAAACTGCCCTCAAGCGCACGTTTGGTTTTCATTAAGCTTGATACTAACATTTTCCTAGATCCTCTGGTTAAGAAAACCAGCTCAATATTAGACCTGGAACCTAATGCTAGCCCCACCACTTAGTTATGTATTTCTTGGGGAGGGAAGTTTTTCCCTCATCTGAAAAATGAAGATAGTGGTATAGTTAATAGAATAAGTTTGTATTATTAAAAACCACACTGACAACTTAAGTCTGGGGCCCATCCCAAAACCAATTAAGAACTCAGTTCTGGGGTTACACTCAAAGTGGAGAACCACTGACCTAATATTATATGGACTAAGTATATACTAGCACTCAATATGCGATCAAATGTTTATTAAATGGTCTTCTGTATTTCTCTCACATCTTCTTGGCTATCACAGCCACCACTGACATCTTCCCAACTCCAGGCCTCAGCCCCTGCTGTTTTACCACCAGGTGTATAAATTCTACCTCCTTTGAGAAACTTCCTGATCCTCACAGCAGGAACTATCTCCTCCCATATTCCCCTAACATGTTCTATTTTCACATACTACTCTCTTCACAATGAAACTTAATCTTAGTCCTTCAGAGTAATATATATATATATATCCATATAAACCCACATTTCAGCCTCCCACTCCTATCACCATGCTCCATCCAAACACCCAAGGATTACAATGTGCCAGAGATTAAATTTTAAACGGCTACTGCTGTTAAGAGGCCAGACTCACTCCATCAAAAATACAGCGTCAGCAATGTACGAGGCGTTGTTTTAATTGCTAGAAAAGACTAGTAAGACTCAAACTTGATAGTGGTTTGAGTACATATATTCAAACCCTGAGGAATGGCTGGGAAAAGCAACTGATAAAAGTGTATGTAAAAAGCATTTCAGGTAGTTAAGAGATGCCATGAAAAAACGGCTATATGAAAAGAGATGTCAGAGAAGACCTCTTTTTACAGATTGAAAATGAAGCCAAGTACACAGACCTGAGGGCTGTGTGTTCCAGACACACGATTTTAAGTGCTAAGACCCTGCATTTCATTATAAGCTTGTATTCTTAAGAAAATATAGTAGTTAACTGCGAGTCAGAAAACCGAATGGCCCTCCCCAGTTATTTCCCTAGCTCTGGAAATAACCCAAGTTCCTGGAAACTGTATGTTACCTGGTATACAAACTTTGCAGATGTATTTAAGTTAAGGAATTTGAAATGGGGAGTTATCCTGGATTATTGGGTGCCTCAATGTCTTTACAGGAGGGAAGCAGACAGATTGGAGCCAGGGAGAGATGATGGGAGGATGGAAGCTGAGCTGCATTTTTAAGATGGAAGAAGGCGCCACAAACTACGAAATGCCAGTGGCTTCTAGAAACCGGAAAAGGCAAAAGGCTTCTACCCTTGAGCTCTCAGAAGAGCAAGTCGGCTGACACCTTGATTTAGCCCAGTGAGACTGATTTGAGTCTGACCTCCAAAACTGCTAATACAAAAAAATCTGGCCACTGCAACATGGATGGATCAAAGGGTACTATACTAAGTGAAGTAAGCCAAGACAGAGAAAAACAAACACCACGTAATTCCACTTTTATGTGGAATCTAAAAACAAAACATAAATACACTCAGACAAGAGAACAAACTGGTGGTTGCCACAGGAAAGGCAGCGGAAGGGTATGGGCAAAATAGATAAAGGGGATAGAGACACAAATTACCAATTATAAATTAATCATGAGGATGAGAATATAGCAAGGGGAATATAGTCAATATTGCATGACAAGACAGTAAGTACACCACTCATAATTGTCAAGTCACTATGTTGTACACCTGAAACCAGTATGTGTATCAACAATACTTCAGCTGAAAAAAAAAAGTCTTTAGGTTTGTGGTAATTTTTTATAGCAGCAATAGGAAACAAATACTAGGAGCCTACTGTGTTTTATGTCAGGTAAAAAAGACCAGCCTTAAAAAATTTACCCAAGAAAAGGGAGGCACATTTACAAGCAATGTTTTGGCTGGTCTGGTACTAAATCTCTGTTAACAGAAAACAGTGGAGGCAGAAAGTCACCAGTCTTCCCCTGGAGCTGTCCCCAAAGACACACCAAGAAGCTGTCACATCCTAGACATGCCTGTACCACTTAGTTCACGGTATCTGTGTTATGTCTATCTTGCCCATTAGACTGACACATGAAAGCTGAGGTTATTTTCATTTGTCTGCCTCTGCTAAGTGCTCGTTACCATACATAGTAAACAGTAATTACTTAGCACTTTGAGCAAGGCACTGTTCTAGGCATTTTATATGACCTGACACATTTAATCATTAAAATCATATGAAATCAAGTACAACTACTTTCCCCATTTTAAGGAAACAAATTCAGCCCAAGCCAGTAAGTGTGGGCAGGATATGAACTCAAACGGTTTGGCTCCAGAGCCAGCTCTCTTAATCCAGCCTACAAGGGAACCATCGAAGATAAGGAATACTAGGTAACACCAGCTAAAAGCCAGTAAATACAACAGACAACCAAACTTTTAGAAGACTGAGACAGCTAGAAGACCTAATAAAGCTGGAACTTTGAAAGATACAAAAGGAAATGTATTGTGGGAGGTTCTGTAGTAGAACCTACTGAGCAGGCCCAGACTTTCAGGAAGGTTTGTTAGCCTTCTAATGGAAGGTCTGCTGTTGGTGAAACTCTTTCAGGAGACGTGGATTTTCTTAATTAAAAAAAAGGTGTTAATGTGCATTTCCATAGGTTCTAACAGTCCATAAAATACTTTTATACCAGTTTTAGTCCTCACAATCCTGTGAGAGCAAATGAGTATTCCACTACTCCCTAGGAAACTGATAGTTGGAATTGTCACCTGACAGCACTTTTTTCTACTTATCCCCTCTCTGAAATTGCTTAATTCTGAAGCAAACTGCTTTAGATTTCTCGAGGGCAATCCTAAGTGTAATTCCTCCCATACATTTTCCCACCCTCTTTGGTCCTGGGCCCCACAGTAATTTATATGGAGAGTTCGATTTCCAAGACTGAAAAACAGGTCTGCAGGTGTACGAACGGCCAATACACCTTGCCTGTTTATTTATCCTAGGCATTCTTACACAATCCTTCACCAGCTAAAAAGGCTTTTGCTACTCTGGGTGATGATTGTTAATGTGTATGGTTCTTAACAAATAACCATTCAATGTCCATAAGAAGGGAGACTGGGTGTTTGAAGAAAGGGACTACATGGGAACCCTGTACTTTCTACTCAACTCTACGAGCTCTTTTAAATTTATAAAAATGCTTTGTTAAAAACCACCACCTCATATATGAAATGCCACTTTTACTGATTACTATCCCAACTCCTACATTTAGTCTTCTGCATTTACCCATGCGCAGGTAGTTAGCAATAAGCCATGCCACATGTACAATCTTATTACAAACTAGGTAACTCTTCTGAGCCACTTCTACTTTCAGGATACTAGATGCACAAAGACTGGAGGCTGTACTGTTAATCTCTCAAAACAGCAAAATATAATTTCAAAACTTACTCTTAGGCTTCACCTTGAAATCAATATATAATTTTTTGTACACTGATCCAACTGCTAGTACTAAGACACTAAATTTCTTGCAAAAAAAATGGGCAAACTCGGACATATAACACTGGTACTATAAACTAGAGTTTTCTTAATTTCTCTCTGGGATTCGTTGAACCTGAACACACTAATCCAGAAAAATAGCTTCAAAACCAAATAATTTCAAGGAATTCTTAAACATACTTGTGCTGCAACTTACCAATAAGTGGTAATGACTCTGGTGCAAGTGTCAAAAGAATTAACAAGTCACCTGTTTCATACTGGGTCACAACACCTTGGCATATTCAATGAGAACTACAAAAATTTTTATTTAATAATTGCCACTTCATGTTACACCAAACACTTAAAACGTTTCAGTTCACTAGTTGACATAAGATTTTGTCACTCTAGTTTCAATGAGTGCTTATTTAGGCACTCCAAAATAACACACATCCATAAGCACAAATGTCATTATCTTCTTTCACAACATACAAAGTAATGGATTATTAAAATTTCACCTTCATATGGCAGAAGATGTAAAACAAGAAAAAAAAGGCATGTAAAAGGAAAACAACACATTTACATG